CCCCCGCCCGCCCCGCACCCCCCCCCCCCCCCCGGGAGGAAGAAAAAAAAATAAAAAAAAAAAAAAAGGGGGGGGGGGGGGGAGGGAGAACAAAATCATATATTATAGAGTAACACTTGTAAACTACTTGCCAGCTCTGGATTTCATTTTTTGCAGGCTCCCAAGGACACAAATCAAAACTGGCTTAGTCACATTACTTCAAACTGAACAGGTAGTTTATCTAAACAGCATTTACAAGCATCCCAAACTGCACCAAACAGGAAAAAGCAATATCCTGAAAGATAAAAGTCAGATATGCACTTAAGAAGTCAGTAGCAGACAGGACTACTTAACTTAATCTACTGATCAAAAAAGCATTATTATGTTGCCAATAATAGTGCACTTGTATTTATACAATATCCTGATATGTTCTTTTCAAGTAACATGGTGAAGGATCAGAAGAGCACAGTAGGAAAAAAGGTATGTAAATGGTTCAGCTTCAGTAAATGTTATTAACCTTCTTCCTTATTCAGGTACACACAGCTATTGTGCAATGTCTTGGACCACTTCCAGAATACAAACCCTAACATTTCAACTATACACTGACGAGAGATACACAAGTGTTTTGAACACAGATTATCACTGTTAATGATGTCTGCCATCTTATCCATTTTCCCCCCTTTCATTTTTATTAATCGTACGTATTTTAAACCTACCTGAAATAGTATTGATTTTAGAATTCATTATTCCTAGGGCAACTAAAACACTCATGAGGCTATTTGGGGATACTGACAATAGAGACAATTAAAATATATTTCCAGTAACTAACTTTGATTTAAGATAATCGCAGTAACTAAACAGCCAGAATCCAAACAGTAGAGCAATGTGATCCACAAAAAAAAAAAAAAGCCAGTAAAGTTTTCCCCCCCAGTCATTAACAGAAATGGTGAAATTTAAGATTATTAGATCCCAATTTAAGATTATTTAAATCCCAACTTAAGATTATTAAAACTTAATCAATTTCAATATGCAACTAACTCAAGGAACGAGTTCAAAATATTTCTAGCAGTGATTTAACATTTACTTATACTATATTCTTAAATGTAGTATTTCCTTTGTGGGGTCCCTGGATAATATCCAATAGTTTCATTAAGTTTCCAGTCAAAAAGGCACAAATACAGCTGCAAGCATACACATATCAAATATCTCGCAAGTTACCGTATATTTACGTGATAGCTGTACGCAAAGCAATTTCATAGGCTATAAGTGAAAACTCATTGTGGGAAATAATTAAAATGGACAATTCAGAAAACTTTACAAAAATACTTCTTTTTATTAAAAGCAGCAATTTCAAGCAGAACAATACACAGAATGTAAACATCACTAAGTTCAGCTCTTTTTTTTGCTGAACCTTCGAGAAAGTCTACACTAAATGCATCTACTGTACTAGCGAGTTAACAGACTATATTATAATTTGAAAATATATTTTCTACTTTGAATTAAGAAAAAGTAAATTTATCGTAGTCTGTCCCAGCGCCAGATACTGGCATCATCACACACAGCTATAAGGATACTACTATCCCTGCTAAAACTGGTTTGTCGAATGGCAGCAACACATTTAGGATGAGTAAGAGTCGTACACCTATAAATAAAAGAAAATTATTCAGCTGCAATGTTAAATCTGAACTTCCTACTACATTATGGAGTGCTCTTTCACCAACCTCTTACTTATGTGACCTAGGAGGAACTGAAGGGCAACAGGATTATGCCCTTCATGGTGTATTTTGTATTCCAAATGTGGACTTGGGAAAGCAGTAATTTCCTGTTCACCCACTGCCATTTCTTATCCACCCAATTTTCGTTGAAGCACTGACTGAAAGCTTATTGAATGACATTATTTAGGACTTCACCATCAATGTTCTTTCCCAGTGGTTAGGAATAAAATATCATAATTGGGTGATTAAAGACTGCAGCATTTTCAGGAACTTCATATGTTTATGTATATATTTATACACACACACGTATTTATATAGATTATATTTTATATATATTTAATTTATTATATAGTGTATATACAAATATAATGCATGTTATTTATATACCTAGTGTATACACGTTTTAGACACATAATGTATATATTATGTATATATTTTTATATTTTTTATTTATTTATATGTATTTGTATGGTGTTATATATATGTGTGTGTGTGTGTGTGTGTGTGTGTGTATATATATATATATATGAAAAGATATGATGTAAAATTTTTCTGGCCACACAGGTGAGAACTGGAAAGCCATACTGGTTTCTCCACATTATGCTCACAGTTAACCTTTATACTCTCATTACTCTAGTCCTTTCACCTATTTCTCCTTTGCCATGTGCTACACCCACCTAGCACATCTTCTCTTCATTGCTTTGTAAATTTCCACCTAATTAGCTTGTAAGCTCTTTGAGGAACAAATTGTCTTTTACTGTATCTATGTATGGTGCCCAGCACAATCTGATTGGGGCCTCTTGGCAGCACTGTAATATAAATAATAAATCAGTATAATATAATAAATGTTAACCTTCAGGGGCTCAGAATATTTATTTACCTAGTAGTTAAAGTGGAAAGTGACTACTACTGTTAAAGAATTTCTATAGTTATCAGTAAAGGAAAACGGAAAGTACCCCAACTCCCTGTCTTAACAAAAAGAAATTCAAAATAATAAGTACTTACTTGGCTTTATGAGGATCCTCTATTTCTAAATCCCAAACATAAAGTTTGCCAACCTGATTGCCCAGAGCAAGCATCTTTAAAGTAAAGCAGAGGATAGAAAAGTTTTAAAATACTGCCTTGAAGTATGGAAGTCAGAATTTTATAAAGGCTCTATAGCTGATAAATTGTGTGTGAATGTTTGAACATGAATGACTTAATGAGTTTGTTGGAAGGGCTAGAAATGCTATAAAATTTGCCTCCTTTCTCCAACTTTATTATCCACCTCTGCAGATGGGGGAGGAAGATATCAGTAAACATATCTTCAGTGAAGAATAAATACATCTTTGGTTGCACTTTTTCCATCAGGCAGGACCCAGAATGAAAAATCTGGAGCTCCTCCAGTTTCATATAAAGCCCCTTGCTGTAAATCATTCTGCTTCTCAAACATCACATCACATGAACCAAGACTTCCCACGTCCATAAATATGGAATCAATGAAAAGCTATGCACCTTCAAATACAGCAAAGTCAAAGCTCACACATACCTTTTGCCAGAAATCCATTGAAAACCTCATGTACCATATATCACACTGGCTGTAATCAAATCTCCCAAGTATGGTCACGTTTGACTCACTGGGCTTGATTTTATCTATGTCATCTTCCATTTTGCCAGGTTTCCAGCACACAATGGCATTTTCACAAGACTGGGGGCAAACAGTGAAAAAAGAATCACTTGTATTTACAATTTATACTGCACATTTGGTCTAACAGTAATCATAACCAAGCATTTCATCTCACAGCTTCCCCAACTACATTAAAAATAACCATAAAACTGAAAATCTCACCTCTGTCCTTAGATCACAGCCACATCACCAACAATACGTCAGCGCCCATCGCTGGGAGCCTGCTGCCCTCACAGCTTTGCCAGGTAACAGGACGGCAGGAGCCCTCCCTCACCCACTTCAGAGGGAGTCAACCCAATGCGCTCCAACACACTTTCATGAGCGGTTTAAATTAACCTAGACTTGAGGATTCTTCACCCAACCCCTTCAACCACAGGACCATGCATGCAACAACTTCTGGCAAAGAGCCAGTAAGACCGCCTAGTTTAATATCTGCAAGTAAATGTTACCGGTGGACACAACAAACACAAATCAAAGTTAGTCCGTTATGGGAACCCTCACTTCTTCCTTTAACGGCAAGACCCCTCAGCAGTATCTATGTATTCTCTTTCTGTATTCTCTACCTATCTGGTTAATTGTATCCCTGTACTTTTAGCAGAGGTACAGCTGTAGTAATAATTTTACTTTTTAAGTACAAGCTGCTTATCCACACATCCTGGCAGCTGACAAAATTCCCAATACACTGCATAAAATCATTTGACCTAGCATATTACGTTAACCTAAACCCAAATTCTAGTAAAACTTCTACTGTTTAAGATCCTCAAAACAAGCAAATATGAGTAATATAGCAGAAAAAGCTTCCACTTTACCTTGGAAAGAATTAGATCTCCCAACCATCGTACACAGTCAACATAGTTTCTATGTATGTCTCTTGTAGAAAAGTCGGGAAAGTGAATTTTCTGGGAAATAAAAGGCCTATGGAGAAAATTGCCAAGAGAAACACAGAAGCACAAGTCAAATTTTTAATGGCCAGTTTTAAGATCTCAATGTTAAAAGGACAAGCCTGTCTTTTTTGTTGTTTTAACAGTTTTGTGACAAAGTCGATTTTGTGTGTTGTTTTGTTGTTTGGTTGGTTGTTTTTGCTTTTTAAATAATGGGAACAGTCCCTGTTTTCATCCTCATTCCTAATGAAAGAACATTTCCCACTGTACAAGCCTGTGCAGACAGTGCTAAACAAAACCACTCCTTCAGATGCTGAATACAGCTTCCATTGCCAAATACTTCAAGAACTAATTAAAGCTCAGTTTTCCTGATGCGGCTTTTGCAACGTCTACATTGTTAAATAGAAAAGCACACTAGAACAAAAAAAAAAAAAAAGTAATTTTTAAAAAAGCACGCTAAAAAAGCATCATTTAATACTTGGTAACATTACCAAAAAAAGCGAGAGTATTTTCACAGCTAGTCTCATTGCTGAACATGTTCACTGTGTTTTAGACTCTTAATTCTCTCAATGGTTTAACTGGAAGCTAAGATTAAACAGTTGATGAACTTCATAAAGGAGGATTTATCTATCATGTATCTAATTGCTATGTTTACTTGACAATTTACTCATATCTGAGGTCAGATCACAGAAAGATTAAAGTTCAGGTTATTACTACATAAAGAGTTTTGTCCTTGCTCCAAAGTCAGATAACAGATACAATAATGAGTAATAACTACCCAATCTAAACCTATTTGCTATATTTAATTACACGGATTTGATTCCTGCCTAGAAATTTTGAGGTGAGAGAAAGCCACTGACATCTTGAAACACAGTGAAATACAAGCTTTAATTAAGAATGATAAAGATGATAATTCCAGACATTTTCTACTCAAGCAGATAAGAAATAATTAAGATATTTAAAAATAAAACTGTCAGGACTTTAAATCTGAATTCAATAAAATTTTACTGAAGCAAACATCAATAAGACACATCTTCTGGAGCAATTTAGTATCCAGCACAATCCCCAGGTCACTCACTAGCCCCAAGAGCTCCCAGTCTGGGTAGGAATTAACCTGGACCATATTCATGGTTTGCAAAGACAGCCAAGAAGATGAAGACTACATACCTGTTGGTTTTGTTTGGGTTGTACTCATAAGACTCTTTGATGGCGTTTATCATTCTCTTGGAATTAATTCTCCAGAGCTTGAGAGAGTGATCCATCCCACAGGACATGATTTTTTCACCAAGAAGATCATAATCCTATGTATATGAAATAATTTTGAGGACCCCCAGCCTAAGCTGCCTTATATCAGCTCAGATTTTATTCCATCATTTCCATCAAAACAGCATTTTTGACATAGTGAATGCAATAGAACTGTGTATTTCAAATTGAAAAATAGTAATAACTTAATCCTGCTCACTGCAAAGAAGCACAGTATCTTAATAATTATATTTACTTTCTCTCAAGACAGAGAGGCATATTCAACAGCACTGACAGACCATGAATCTACTGGTAGTGCTCCCCCCTCAGTAAATTCCCTAGGTTTCATTTTATGGACCAACTCTGGCAGAAGTCCAGGGCTACGACATGGGTGATGACTATTTAGAACCACAAGAGAATAATACAGTGTCGGGTTTCATATAGACCCTCACCTTTCAGGTCACACAACAGGAATGAAAACAGTTCTTAAGAGCAGCGTATTAAAAGTCAACTATTCTAGTTGATTTTTGCTGGCTACCAGTGTCTGTTCACAGCCACTGAAAAGCAGCATAACTCACCTGAAAGAACTTCTTTCCTTCACTACCATGTTTCTCAAGGCTTATTTGTTCCTGCTGCTTCGGATTGGTAAGTCCTCAAGAACTTCAAAAGTGGGACCATCATGAAAACTTGTTACTCTTTCTAGCCCCACTGAGCTCTATTTTGTTTACCTCTAGGCTGCACTGTGAGAAAACTAGCTACTGAAAGACACGGGAAGTGAACACCTGCCCTGTATATTGAAAGGTGGCCAGATCGGTCAAACCACCTTAGATTTAAACTTGTCTATCCCCTCAAAACAGTATTTATGCACTTCAGTTTTTTTTTTTTTTAAGTAGGTATAATATCAAAACAGTGCACAAGAGGATAAAGAGTTGCATATTGTAAGCTTACTACCCTTTGTAAATCTAAATCACTGCCCCACAGTCTTCCACTTACTGCACTTAACACCTCATCCCTGTGCCCTTCTACTCCTCCAAATATTGCAACCAGCGTGTCTGTCTGGATGTTCCACAGTCTCAATGCATGATCTATAAAGAACAAATAAAATTACATGCTGCTTTTTATATGTACATATGAATAATATATTTCAGCTTAACTACTTTCAATAACAGGTGTTCATGTAAACATCAAAAAGGCACTTAATTCTTCACTTGCAAGAAACAACGGAACTGCATTAACTACAATTGCCATTACAACTAAACTATCGTTAGAGTAATTCTGTAATTGAGAAAGTGTACCCACCCCCCTCCCCTCGGGACAGCTTCTAACGAGAATATACTTGGATCTTTAGATCATCCGAAAAGCAAAGGGGCTGATCTTGGACAAGTACGGTTTTATTCAATCTTATCTCAAAAATAATTGTATGTATCAAAAAACACTAGAATTCCTTTCAGCCATTCTTACATCAGCATTCAGAGAAGGTTTGATTTTCCATTTTTTTAATCTTTAAAATATTATTCTTTACGAACCACAGACTGTAGCGATGGCAGAAACTGTTTCTACAAACAATACGTACTCCAAAGTCAATCGGACTAATCCACTTGTTTAAAGAAAGTTTTAACAATTTCTTATTAAGAACCTCTACTGTACCTCCCATTTGGAAATGGGAACCTCTACTGTACCTCCCATTTGGATTCCACAAGTACACTGCACTGAATTACAGCAACATCAACTGGAAGGCTACACAGTCCCGAATAAATTTCCTCTTTTTCTACTCATCTCTCAGCCAAGCAGTTCTGAGACTCCAATATTCTCCTGCCTCATGCCCTCTCGGAGATAGTACCCAGTCCAGAGATCACACATAAAAACTTGTAGTACTATGGCTGGTGTCAAAGTGTTATTTAAAAGAGAACCTAAAAAATATACAGAAATCTAAGAAATTCAACATTACAGATCCACAGCACAAACTTGACAGTTGCAAGAATTGAGAGAGGTTCCCAATTCCTATTCTTGTGTAGCTTCATCAGTAATATCAAATATGCTAAAGTCAAAAGTCCCCTTATGTGAACGTTTCCAACTCTAGCATTCCTGAAGCCTTGCTCTTGCAGCAGATCAAGTATTCCCTTACTTAACAAAACAGTCAAGATTAGGAAGTTGTGACTGTTTAGACGTTCTGGACAAGGCCGTAAGACACCATACAAAAAACCTGCTTCTCCCTTCACTAATATGCTTTTTACACAAAGTCCAATTAAAAGTCAGAGCTGCTCCTGAGCGACAGAAAATCGAAGTTTTCCCCATGAACACGGTGGTGGATACTGTCTGCGACTTTAAGACATCCCCACTAGATGGCAACATGATTCAACAACTGAAAAAAAATTAACTCAACTGGTAGAAAGGAAAGAGCAACCCCAGTGCTCACGTTTCTTCTTTCCTAAAAGCAGTACTGCTCACAATCCCTTTGCACCACAGGTAGAGTTATGTTTATTGTAGGCCATGGATTTAATATGTACAAGATATATAGCCATAAAAGAGCAAGATTTGCTCTCAACTTTCAAGGTAAACTTGTTCCGTGCCATTCATAAAGTCATGGAGGTTTTGGCCATTTTCAAGACCAAAATCCAATCCAAAGTACTCTGATTTATACAAAAACAAAAGAGGTTTTTTTCCTCACCTTTGCTTACAGATAAAAGGAGATTTGGATCTCTTGGATGGAATTTCAGTTCATTGATTGCATTTCCATGGCCCACGTAGTGCTGGGATAGAATTCAGAGACCAAGTTATCATTTCCCTCATGTTTACATGTATTTAGAAGACATAAGTTTCATGCCTTACTGAAATGCAAGCTGTATCTCAAAGTTCTGAGCACTCACCTTTATGCACTGCATTGTAATAGGATTAATTATCCTAATAATACCCCTGGACCCTGCCACAGCCAGAAGAGGATGGCTTGTATTGCTATCGTATGTCCACGCACAGGTATAGAAATTTTCATCTGCCTACAACATCTTATGTTAAGGAACACAGAAGAAACAGGAGATTTTTTTTTTTTTTTTTAAAGCAAAAGAACTTTTTTTTTTAAACTGTGATTTTTTTAAGTAAACTTGTTGCTATTTTATACAAGTACCCAGGAGCTTCCGCTGGACCCAATAAGAAGAAGATACATATTTGGTTATACATCTACAAATGCAATCAACATTTTGCATAGATGCCAGTTTCCTCACTTCTGTTCCATAACATACAAGGAACACCTTCTCTCTCTTGGCATCACTTTTCAACATCTTTCTCCAAAACATCCGAAGACTGGGAATAAAATGAGGATGAATCAAGATTTGAGTTCACAAATGATTGACTTGTGTACCGCAAATGATCAACACAAGTTATTACCACTTAGGAGCATGAAACATAATTCTTAGGCTTTAAACCCAGTTCCAATTCACAGGGAAGTGAGACCGCTGTAAAGCAGCGAATGTGAAACATTACACAAATATTAGTGTTGGGAAGATTAAACTGATGGAGAATCAGTTTTCATATATTGTATACAGCATGTTCCACAAGTCTGCATTTTTAATATTTTTTCAACAGGAGGGACTCTAGCATGTGGGAAAGAGGTAAGACTCGGACCTAACATAAGGAATGTGCCACATGAGCAAAGTATTAAAACACAGACAAAACCTTCATACGCTTTTTCCTACAAAGCCTCTTCATTTTTGATAAAGAAGCAGCAAACAGGTGGCTTTTTAACTTAAAAGGATACATCAGCATCCACATACGACTGCAACAGACGGATTTCTCCTTGGGAATGACATTCATATAAAGTAACCTGGAGGAAAAAAAAAAGTGGGAGAGATTGCTGCTTACTTGTGGTATTTCAAAAGGAAATCACATGCACCTGTGTATTGACTTCCTGATGGGGAGAACTAGTGTGCCTTTATGGTTTAGATCTCATCCATCATCTGTTTCCAACAGGTAGAAACAGCTTGATAAAAGAATCCTCACAGCAGTCTCAGTAAAGCACCACTGCAGGACTTGTCAGCAGTCCTTCCCAGATATTAAAATCTACTATTTGAATTGTCTTAGTAAGATTAAACTCTATTTGGAATTAGTTACTGCAGCTCTCTCTAACACGACTTGGTCTTTTAATGAGCCATTGGTACCTTGTTTAATCTTAGTTTGGCACTTTTGGTAACTGCCAGGTGGAACAAACTTGGAAATAAAAGGCTTCTTGTTTATTCACAACACTTGCATAGAATGCACTTCAGGAGATATTTTCAAGACTGAAATGACACAGATCCTTGTTCAGAAGAAGCCTATAAATTCACTCCACACAGGCCATTAATTTAGCTACTGAGCTGCCTGGCATCATTGCAGACACTTCTCATCCCATTTTAGAGCATATGACCTTTTGGAAACAATATCCACAAAGAGTAATTTTAGTGCAAAGATATATTTATGCACCTCTCTTCCTTATCCCATGTTTATATTACTGAAGGATTTTTTTTCTTTACTAGACAGGTTAATTCCCAAATAGCTAACACATGACTTCATAAAACAATCCACAGGATGCAAGTCTCCCAGATAACAGATGCTACATACCTCAGAAATAAAGCTTTTTATATGAAGTATCCTGTGTCCATACTAAACACAGGTAAAGGGACTGGTTGAAAAAAAAGAACGCAAGCAGAACCACACAGACGGGCTTAGGATTAAAAACAAGTTACTCACTCTGTTGCTGCCTACAGTGGCAAAAACAAGAGGATCACCTTCTTTACTGTGCCAGTTAAACTGGACTCCAAACAAAGGCTGACCATGGTCCTCCTGTAAACGTAAAGTAAGATTAGAGACAAAAAAAATAAAACCCACAGACATATTATTTCTGTGAAATTCAGCTGTGGTGGTAAACAGTTTAATTGATATGTTTTCCTCCTCAAACTACTGGGTTCACATCCAGTATAATTTCAGAGAGTGAACAGTTAAAAAAAACCCAGTTTTGTAACATCACATTTTAACTTGGCTGTCTTAAGGGAAGTTAAAGGAATATTCCACCCCCTCCCCTCTTTCTCCTCCTGCCCCAAGCTTTTAATAAGTGAAGGGGAAGAAACGTTGTCTCACAGTTACGGCTAGAAGCTGGCAGAACTCCTGAGTTGTATTTGCAGCTCTACTACTTTGTTTCACAATTTTCAACAAGGCAACCTCTACATCTAAGGCCACATCTATACACATTTTATACTGTTATAATTACTTCCACAGAACAATTTACAACTTCACAGAGAAAAATCATTAGGACAGAGAAGAATTATACTGGTATAGGGGTGGAGAAGGGCCACATTCAACTATTACAGCACAGTTAGGTCTTGCAACTCTTATCACAGACACGACAAACACGACAAACTCACTCCAGCTTGTCACAATGCTGCTGCAAAGTTCACGTCTACAAAGTGTTTTCAGATCGCCTTCACACAGTTACCAAAGAAATGCCAAGTATTATTTTTATACAGCTTACATCAGTTTAATAGAGAAAAAAAAGCAGATATGTTTATGAATTGTGATGAATATGGTGGTGCTTGTTAATAATTGATAACAGTATTTTGGCCTGTCCCAACAGGATGTTTTCAGTAAGAATAATGTTCATTAAAGTGCCTCCCCACAGGGGACTGTCTGGGACAGTGCAGGCAGGAAGGAAGTGTCTCATGACGGCTGTTAAGCAGCCTTCAAATGGCAGTGCTTCAGAGACAACACGAGAAATATTAGCCCTGGCAGCTTGGGCCTGTCCAAGAACCAAAGAATAAATCTGAGGAGGGGGTGTAGGTGGGGAACCCAACACCACTCACAAAAAGAAAAGTAAGGAAGTCTGGAAGAATTTAAAATAGCATTATTTACTGAGAAAGGCAGTATCTGTTCTTAACAGACATAGCTGTAAGAGCTAGAAAGAGAAGGGAGAAAATCTTTCAGAGATTAAATCCATGATATCCATGATATTCAAAAAGTCATGGCAGTCAGGTGAAGTCCCTAAGGACTGGAAAAAGGGAAACATCGCACCCATTTTTACAGAGGGTAAAAAGGAGGACCCCAGGAACTACCAACCTGTCAGCCTCACCTCTGTGCCTGGGAAGGTCATGGAACAGATCATCCTGGAATCTGTGCTAAGGCACATGGAGGACAGGGAGGTGATTTGTGACAGCCAGCATGGCTTCCCTGAAGGCAAGTTTTGCCTGACCAACCTAGTGGCCTTCTGTGATGGAGTAACTACATCAGCGGACGAGGGAAGAGCTATAGATGTCATCTGTCTGGACTTCTGTAAGGCCTTTGACACAGTCCCCCACAACATCCTTCTCTTTAAATTGGAAAGATACAGATTTGATGGGTGGGCTGTTTGGTGGATAGCTAACCGGCTGGATGGTGGCATCCAGAGGGTAGTGGTCAACGGCTCAATGTCCAGATGGAGATCGGTGACAAGTGGTGTCGCTCAGGGGTCTGTACTGGAGCCAGGGCTGTTCAATATCTTCATCAATGACATAGACAGCGGGATCAAGTGCACCCTCAGCAAGTTTGCAGATGACACCAAGCTCAGCGGTGTGGTTGACACGTCTGAGGGATGGGATGCCATTCAGAGGGACCTGGACAAGCTGGAGAAGTGGGCCCACGTGAACCTCATGAGATTCAACAAAGCCAAGTGCAAGGTCCTGCACCTGGGTCAGGGCAATCCCCGCTATCAGTACAGGCTGGGGGATGAAGGGATTGAGAGCAGCCCTGCCGAGAAGGACTTGGGGGCACTGATAGATGTAAAGCTGGACACGAGCTGGCAATGTGTGCTTGCAGTCCAGAAAGCCAACCGTATCCTGGGCTGCATCAAAAGCAGCGTGGCCAGCAGGGTGAGGGAGGGGATTCTGCCCCTCTGCTCCGCTCTGGTGAGGCCCCCCCTGGAGCCCTGCGTCCAGCTCTGGGGTCCTCAGCACAGGAAGGACATGGACCTGCTGGAGTGGGGCCAGAGGAGGGGCACAGAAATGATCAGAGGGATGGAACACCTCTGCTATGAGGAAAGGCTGAGAGAGCTGGGGTTGTTCAGCCTGGAGAAGAGAAGGCTGTGGGGAGACCTTATTGTGGCCTTCCAGTACTTAAAGAGGGCTTACAAGAAAGATGGGGAGAGCGTTTTTAGCAAGGCCTGCTGCGACAGAACAAAGGGTAATGGTTTTAAACTAAAGGAGTGTAGATTTAGACTGGACATAAGAAAAAAATTTTTCACAATGAGGGTGGTGAAACACTGGCACAGGTTGCCCAGAGAGGTGGTAGATGCCCCATCCCTGGAAACATTCAAGGCCAGGCTGGATGGGGCTCTGAGCAACCTGATCTAGTTGTAGATGTCCCTGCCCATTGCAGGGGGGATGGACTGGATGACCTTTAAAGGTCCCTTCCATCCCAAACCATTCTATGATTCTATGAAGGCCCTCCTGCAATTCTTAGAGAGGTAACAACTTTCAAAGCTGAATACAGAGAAAAAAGAATTGTTCAAAGTTTAACTCCAAGTATTACCCATCATAACATGAAAGAACAGACTAGTGGCTTTATGTGATGAGGGAGATGGGATATTAGCAAAGGGAAAAGTAGCAAGGTTATTAGTGACCCCACGACAGAAGGAAAAAGCAGGTATTCGGCATCTGTAAAGCATTACAGTTTAATTAGAGAGGAAGAATGAGGAAAACTGTATGCCATAAAACCGCACACACAAGGCCATGATTTTTAGTGTCCAACAAAGTTATGAATTTTACTTTCAAGGCTTATTTTTTGAGTGTATTTAAGTCTTCCTTGAAGAGAATGGCTGAGAGGTCAAATAAACAATATTAAAAAAAAAAATCCACTAATAATTAGTTGGTTTTGAATTTGTGTGAAAGAGTCCATGCTGGTGAATACTGAGGGCTTTTGACATGCTGCATGAAGATAACACAAGTAAAATGCATGGATTCTCACTGCTTTATTACAGAGATATATTAGCAGGTTTTGCGCTTGTTTTTCTGGAATTACCTTGTTCTCTGTCATGTGCACTGTTTCTGATAAATTTAGTGAAATGGGAAAAGTGAAGAGGAAGATGTTTTTCCCCTTCAAGATAGGATTTTTTTTTTTCCAGCATAAGTGATGATAAGTTCATGATTTTCTAGGTAGGACCCAGACCAGGGTGATATGAAATAAGTAGAGATAGAACAGAGGGCTATACTGTTTCTATATTTCTATATTTGAGTGCATACCTAAAGTATTTAGTAAGCTTTTTCAAAGACAACCTACTTCCCTGGAAAACTTACTCTGCGAGACAAATGTCTTTAGATTACTTATATCATCCGCGCTACATTCCTCACATCGAGTGCTACAACTTCCAAGAGCCTGACTGTACAGGTTGCAGTTTTTCTGGTGTTTAATGGATGCAGGAGTCGGGCAGAGGCTCTTGTGAGAAGTTACTAGGGTATCTGAAGAAGTTATGCTCACCTCATTTAAACTACCATCATCCCCACTGGTCAGGGACAGCACATAGCTATTTTGATAATACCTGTCTGCTCCAATTTTTGTCCTAAGTGCTAAACAATGAAGCAGGTTTTTAAAAACATTACACTTTTAGGTGCTTCACATTATGGTTATCCTGAGATGCCAAGTATGTCACGCCAATCTGACCACTGGCTGTGCAGACAGTGACCCAGATGCTGGTCCAAAAGTAGAATTGTGAAATGCAGTCTTGACCCTAGTACGAATAAAGGGCACAAAACCCAAAGTACTCAGGTTCTTCAGGCACCAGAGGAGAAAATAGACCTACAATTGCTACAAAAGCAAATAAATAAATAATCAATGGTTAGTTCTGCCCTTACTCACTCAACACCAACTCAGGTTCAGTCAGACAATAAGACTAGACCTGGATTTAGATTGAAGGCAGTCAAGTAAATACTATGCCAACACAAAAAAAACATCACCTGGAACTATATGAACACATTTTAACACACTGTCACCCACACTGCGAGCGAGGAACCAACTGACCACATATGCATTTCCAGTTCCCTGAAGTGGAAGCAAGCCATCATTGGCAGTGGTTTTAGTTACCTCTCCTTTACTCATCAACAAGCTAGAATCTTGCATGTGGCTGGTTACTGATTCCCAGCTCAGGGGACAGCAAGTAGAAGCCGAGAGACAACACTGGATGGCTGGCAACCACTGAGCCACACCCTGACACCCTGAGCAAGAGCAAAGGGTAGGGCAAATAATAGCATTGTTTTAAAGGGAACACATCAAAGCAGAATACACACAGTTCTTTGCTGGAAGATCTATAAGCAAAACACGTATGGATGTATGTGAGGATGTGCATATGTTAGCTGTATATGCTCATTTATAAACTACATTTCCATTCAGCCCACAGAGAGCAAAGACTTCTCAGCACACCTTACAGTAACCTAGTACCACAAAAACAAAAAAAACAAAGGTAGTTTTTTATTTCCTGTCATTTTCCAAGTTATATTTTTGTTTTCCTGATGCTTAAATTTCACCCAAAATAACTTCCACAGTAGTGTTTAAAAAGCATACTTAGCAAGCACTGAGTTTTTCAGGCTGAATCATAACCATTTAGCATTCAAAGCAGACGGTAATGGCCACATTTCTTTGTTTCCCCAAGGAAAAGAAGCAAAAAGCAAAATAAGGGGGAAAAACAAGAATAGGAAAGTGGAAAATCACATAATTTATACATCCCTAAATAATATTAAAATTACTTTCCATGTCTTTAAATCATGTTGACTCTTCATTAATTTCAGTACATGTACCTTACAGCATAGTTCAAAGACATATAAACTATGGGACATACGATGTGATATCCAAAGAGTCACAAGTGTCTTCCAAACCCATATACAACATTCAATCGTTAAAGTTTATCTCCACAGTGTCTGCAAAATTAGTATAGAAGAACAGGAAAAAGAAGAGAGGCTTCCTCAAACATGAAGTAAAAAGGAATTACCAAATTTGGCTGCTACCCAGTCTTTGTATTAACATGCATGTTTATCATTATTACATTAATTTCAGCTCAAAGAGAAATGGGGGGAAAAAAAAAGATAATAAAAATACCCCACTTAGCTGAAATGCTACATTTACTCCCTCACAGCTTGATTCCACGTGCACAGGAATCTGTTCCCAGGCCCTGATACAAATCCACAGAAGTCAAGGATTGCTTAAATTCATAGGATCACCCTATAGTGGGGCCTAGGTTGAAGCTGGGGTGAGGGATTGTTCTGTTTTCCCAGAAGACACTTGAAAAGTACTACCTACTTTGGAATATTTGGTCTGCAGATAGAAAACAAATACGCTTAGCAAAGCTCAGAACTTGTTAAATGTTTGGGTGCCAAAAGGCCTGCGCCTGTGTTTGAAGCATGACTTGAAGCCACAAAAAGCACTACTTGCGGGGGTGATTCATGCGAATCACAGGAACAGCTGCCTACCTAGGTGAAAATGAAAGAGCTTCCCTTCCTCCTACACACTGAAAGGACCAGAGATAATTTTTATACTTCAAAAAACACGCTGAGACCAACTTGTTTCCCAGATACTTTTGTCAGTATAACTTCATATCACAATTTCTCCAGTGGTGAAGATCCTTTATGAGGTTCCCGTGCTCCAAACCTCTCATCCCCTCCTGTTTAACTACCCCAGCATTTCAGTGAGGCAGTCTGAAGCCAAAGTTCAGAAACAGCTACATCAGCACAGCTCAACACTTAAGTGCGGGGGAATGACAAAAACCTCTTAAAGCAATTCTGTAGAAAATATGGAGCTGCACACATCCTCTTGTTAGCTACGTATAAAAGTTTAACAAAACTCCCATCTCGTTCCAGACGCAATCTTTTCTTTATTTAGAAATCTTATAAAAAACAAATCAGATGGCTTATTTACAGCTTTTGCCACACAAATATCCCACACAAGGCCAGGGAATGAAAGAACAACATCCTGATAGTGTAAAAGAATCAAAAAGAAAATTCATTCAGTTCACCATAGTCTGCCACCAATGCAGAAGAAAACAATAATACCCTAAAACACAAGAACAGGGAGTAAAGACCATGAACCCACATCCCTTAATACCATCAGGTGTTATGCGTGAAGATAAATATGAACTAGATCAGGTGTGAACACATAATCGCAACACTCACGATAAATTAACCAAATTGCACTATATAGCATTTATGACAATTGCCAGAGGACAGAAAATATCTGATCTGATAAGTGTGAGGAAAAAGCTACTCCAAGATTGCTGGGTTGTTTTGGTTTTCTTCTTTTACATACATTTCAACAGGTAGAAAAATCTGTACAGGTTCTGTACTTTGCATCAAGTTGCCACACGTTTTGTTTTATTTGCATTTGTTTATCCAGTTTCTTTATCTCAAGCAACTACAGCTTCAATGAAATACATAATTATAACATATCACACATAACTTGGCAAACCTGTACAATTGGGTTAATTGCAGCACTACCTACTGTTTCCTATTTCTCAGTAGCCTTTTTCTTCAAAACTTCAGCTATTCCAAATAAGAAAGGAACTTCCTTCAAATGAGCACAGAACATAATTATACATGGATATTTAAAAACATCTATCTTGACACTGCCTCACAGTCAACATTAACATTACTGCCAGCAAGTGGTACCCAGCATTCCCATGTTGAAGCTTACACATACCTACCTTTAGGCTATTTACACATTTGAAGGAATATTTGCACTTCTTTGACTTCCATTTTCCTTTCCCCCAGCTTTTCCTTCCCGGTGCATTAGGAGTGTTTGTTGGTGTATCAGGGCGTTCGGTGTTAGTACCGCTTTCAATACTAACAGCATCATCCTGAAAACATTCAAATTATATAGAATGTAATAAAGATATCATTAACTGCTGCATAAATTCAACTAGTTTTGCAGCACTTGGCCTTTTCACTTTTTCTTCTCCTCCGTAAGAACAGAAGATCTCCTAGGACTTGGCGTTATTTAGATTCACGTATTTAAATCTATTACTAACATAATAGCATTCCTCCCTAGAAACAGAACATGAGTCACATGAGGACTAATCCAAGAGGGAGAGACGTGAACTGTGATCTAGTGAAGTTTCTTCAGAATCCTGGTAGCGGCTTTTAAGAAAATGTCTAAAGATAAAGTGGTTGCTTTCCCTGGAAAACATCCTTGATGTAGATGAAATGAGTACTTCTGAAGTACTGAAGGAAGAGGTTGTTTGTGTAAAAACATTATGCTTAGTCACACCAAGAATCTAACCATTCTGAGAGACTTCTCTACGCCCTCAGCAGCATCAGGCACCACACAGTTCTGCGATAAGTAAGCGCTGCCACTAGAAGAGGAAGTCCCACCTCTCCCTCCTGCTCTTGCCTGCAGATACTTGCTTCAACTAAAAGCCAAGTTAAAAAAAAACAAAACCAAAAACAAAACTAGCTTGCTGTCTGATCAGCTAACTAATCCAACTGGCCCTCCAACCGTCAGCAGCCAGAGCTAAAGTAAGGATGGGGAGAACTGAAAAAAGAGGTGCACAAAACAACCCACCCAGTCATTGAGCAGATTTAGATCAGCTTTGGAGAATTAACAGAAACTACAATCTCATATGCAGCCTGACTGCAGGACACTACTTTTCTGTTCTCTGCATCACTCATCACAGCGCACTTCACCTTCACCTGCATCGTAACTGGCAACCCTTTGCTTCCATAGGAGTAAGTTCAGCTTGCTAAAAATCAACAATTGTATTTTTTTTCTGGCAAGGTCTGTTCACTTTTCATCAGAGCAGTGGGGGAAAACAACTCACCTCAAGGCCATGTGATTTCTAGATCTGAACTAAGGGAGACAGAGGCAGACGACAGCCTGTCACTGGAGGAGATTAAGTGTAACATGAGGCTGCATCAGCAACTCCACCAGGAATACAGAATAAGGTCAACTATAAACATTAATGCACCAATTCCCACCAAACATTTATTCTTTGTCCCGGTTTCATACCTGTATCGCCAGAAGCCGGTAGAGATGTACTGATTTTGGTTGCCCAACAACTCTGAAAATCAGGACATCAAGAGGAGAAAAAGGAGGAAAGACAACACACAAGCCTGCAAGTGAACTGCCCAAACCTGCAGTCATTCCCTTCACGTTGAACCCCTAAAAGGGCCAACCCTCCCCAAATAAGCATAAGTGAGTTGAGTAATTTTTATGTTTTCCCGTTTCTTCTCCTTTACTCTAAGAAATTTCAGAGAGCTCGCCAAATTCTCGTCTCTCAAGCACACTTGCTAGCCAGAGTCGTACTACTTCACAAGACTGAAGTTTTCTCTTGGGCTACTCAGGTATTGTCAATATAAGAACACCAGGTACCTGGTATGATGCAACTACAACGAGTACCTGCAACTACAACGAGTACCTGCAACTACGACATAACCAACAAACTTGCACCCAGCATACCTGTGGAACAAAATACACCCTTTCGCCAAATCAACACTATTATGGTAACTTTTAAAGAGAATCCCCGTCTTTCAGGAGTTGTGGAGTCCAGTAACAAACTCTTGAAAAGAAAGTCCTTTCACCATTGAGACAGGTCACATTTTCAATAACCAGACAGCCCACATCCGTGGGCACCGATAGCCTACAGAGGACACAAAAGGAAAACTGAACGCCTTTGTCACCGAATTACACTTGGATTCACAAACGCAATAAAAAAATTGAGTAGCTGTGGTGTGGAGCACCTCAAACCTGCCTGTCGCCTCACAAGCAGCACTTCAGAGGTTGTGGGGGATGTGGTCCAGACCCCTCACTTTCTGGGTAAGTGCTCTAACCAGAGAAAAACCCGCGCTGCATAAAGCTAACACCCACATAACACCCTCCGCTCCAGTAACTACACAAAATGACTACTAGATACCTTAAATTAAGTTTGTCTTTCAAATATAAAGCTATTCTGTATCAAGCACATTACCTTTGTTCTGAACACCACATTTTAGCCTAATTTAGAGAGTACAGCCCTCACCCCCTGCTGCAGCCTTCTGCTGACAGAAGCTTATGAGCACTGTCCCCCGTTCCTCATTCACCAAAGGGCTGCACACAGAAATTTACACTGCGTGTTACTCTGCAACGTGACGGTGAAGACACACGACACAAAACTGCAAAAAAGATGGAAAATTTTGCTGTTTTGCAGCAAAAAAAAAAAAAAAAAAAAAAAAAGGAAGTCTGACATTTTGAAGCGGACTTCGAGTCAGAGACCGCTCAGAGTTTGGGCCTCAAATTCTCCCTCACCCACGTGGAGGAAAACCGAGCGACTCACCCTCAGAC